TCCAGACAAACTCGCCCCACGTCAGAAATCTTGTTTGTTGCTGCGGCCAGGTCCTCCTCACAAGCCTCCAGGCGTTCCTGTGATGTCCTACATTCACATCGTGAACGCACAACTTCTTCCAGTAATATCTGTTTATGCACTTCGTGTCTGTGCAGATCTTTCTTAAGCACATCTGTAGCATCCCTGGCTTCAGATAGTGATGCCTCAAGTAATTGTATTTTGCTGTTCAGCGAATCAATTTCTGCACGTGCATCTTGCTGTGATTGAAACATCTGTTCAGAATGTTTTTTTGTGAGGACTTCGTGTTCACTTTTAAATTGAAGGAAGTGTTCTTCAATTTTCTGAACCACCTCTTTTTCACTGTCTAACCTTATTGTAAGGTAATCAGCTTTCTCAACAACTGTATAGAATGATTCTTTCAGCAATATTGCAATTTTAGCCAGCTTTTCATAGCTTGACATTTTAATTTCTGTAGCGGTAACACTTTCTGCAACCTCCTTCAGATTGTCCAATAACTCTTCTGGGTTCATGCTCTCCACCTGTTTATCATATGGATGTAAGGATCCTGTCAGCAGCGTCAACGCATTCTCCAAGCAGTCCCCCATCTCATAAGGATAAAAGTCTTTTTCCCTGACACCTGTCATGGTTATTCACCGTTCAGCACTTTTTCTGGATAAAACAATTGCCAGCTCCAGATATTTTTACAGGTAAATTATTGTATTCAAATGTCAATGAGTTTCACACTATTTCAGCTTTGGGTTTACACAAAAGTACTGTTATAAGTCACTTATCCAAATGTGAGCACCTGTCTCAGGTTTTACCCCAATTCATGAATATTTAAGTAAATGCTTCCATGCAGTGTTACTTGTATGTGCTTATATTTCAACAGATACTAGATTACCAAGCGCTTTTTAGTGTATTTTACTCTAAAGCACTGAATTTTTAATAAACCTGCAATTTCTCTTTTTAGTCTCACAGCACATCAGTTTAAAAATGTTTTTAAACCGTTTACTTCCAGAAATTCGCTATTTTAAACAGTTACTCATCAACCCAGGTGGGTGAAAAGAGAAAAGAAAATTGATGATGAGGAATAATCAGTCTTTCTTCAGAAAAACTGTACTCCTTTCTCCTGCCAATCTTCTATTTAAAATTAAATAGGAGATGTAATTGTTTAGGTGGTAAATAAAATCAGAAAAGTCTCTTTTTCCTGATATATTTACTCTTATTTAGTGATTTAGCAATTAAACGTGCATTATCTTTTAGCAAATGAGTAAACTTTTCAACTCTGTGAATATCTGAAACTGTACCTTTTTTGTTAAAAAGTTTCTACCTTTTATTTTGTACCTTCTCAATGAGGAATTACCAGTGAATAAAGGTTTGTTGGTATAAACACCTTAATTACTTTTTAAATGCAAGATAACAGTGATTATTCAGCTTTGAGGAACGTTTATTAACTCAAAAATGCCTTACAGAAAAAAAACGTTTAATTTCACTCAAAATACCTAAAACAGAAGTGAAACTGTGATCTCAAGTTTCCCAGGAGGGGGCAGTGTTTAGCTTTCTACCATCAGGAGTCTATGACGACTTCCTGTGACGTTCGGTTGACATCCTGTTTTTAGCCGCTTAGCTTAAAGTTAGCTTCGGCTAAACTCGGTTAAAATCAACATTTCTGAACGAATTTAAGCGAAAACGTGGCGTTGTTTCAACAAGCACGACTGTTATGCATGAACACGAGTTTTATGGGACATGTGGCAAGTTACATTTAGTGATTTTAAGCACAGCAAAGCTCTCGGTTGCAACCGAGCTCATTTCTGACATGGAGGAAGTGACGTGACACGTCACTCATCCGGTCGTTAGCTGTTAGCTTAAAATTAGCATCGCTAGCGTTGTTCAAAAACATCATTTAATGACGGATTTTAAACTCAAACGCGGCGAAATTTCAACAATTATGCTTCGAAGACACGAAGCATCGTATCAGAATCAACTTTAAAGCGCTTTTCAGCTATTAAAAGTAGATTTTATTCCCTATGAAAAACGAGTTTTCATTTCCGGGTCACGTGACCGAATTCACCAATGACAGAGCAACACGACCTGACACATCAGAGTTAGTCACTACTGACACGTCTGTCAGCCAATCAAAACGTTACACACGGTCTTTTTCAACCAATCACGCAGCGTTTTCCCCAGCTAGCATGTTAGATTTATCTGAACAAGTCCGTCAACTTTTTTCGTCTTTAAACTGTCAAAATGCACTTTTTTCTGTTACAAGTGTAATCAATAAGCTCCCAGCTGCACGGAGTCAGCGCTCCGGTCTCAAAAACGTCTTCCTAGCTATTTAAACAACTCGTTCGATCTTTCTCAGAACCGAGCCGGAACCAGAACCGCGTCTGGACCGTCTTTAAACAGAATACAGCGTTTCCACAGCTCAAAGCCAGCTTATGTTACACATAACAGGCGTACAATTTCAGCTTTAAAAAGACATATGACTCACAATTTCAGCTTCAAACATCCCAGCGTAAACATGCAGAGTCAAACTCCAAGCGCGCAGCTTCAGCTGCGTTCGGGCACAGCTGACAATCTGTTATTCTTTTTCATGCCAACACGTAAAATCAATCTGTACACGAATACGCAGTCCATTTATGAGCACGTTACGGGCCACCAATATGTAGATGAACAGATGCTGAGAAATATTCATCAATTAAAACGGATTCTTCATTTTTCTGGACTGAATAAAACGTGCATTGAATTTAATCTGAAATGTAAACGTGAGACGTCATTTATCTTTGACCCATCAAAATGAATGCGGTC